AAGGACTTGAGGGGCCACCGGGGTCTCCAACCAGCCCCGATTACAAAAAGCACTCAGCTGAGGATGTAAGGGTTTTGTTTGTCTGTGGATTTGGCTACCATTGCCGGTCCTAACACCTGAAAAATGTAACAATTTCCTCTGCTTTTACAGTATTATGGAACTCATTCCTCAAACTCATCAAATGGGTAAGTTATAAAGTCCTTCATACATTTTGCTGTCTCTTTCATACATTTCAATAAACCATTCAAACTGAAATAAGAGGATACAATGTGTCTTAACAGGTCATACAACGGGATGCCCCCCACCCGCAAACATGCCAAAATTCACTACCACTTTGTAGCACGGAATGCCAACGAGCTGTCGGTGCTGCAGGACGAAATCCTCGAGGTAAAAACAAAGACATGTGTTCAAAATGTAAACAAAATGCTGATGCAGCTGTGAACGAATTGATATGTGCAGTCCTCAAGCATGACGATGTCAGTTCCAACACTAAGGACTTGCTTTCAAGTTTTGAATGGACTGGATTGAGATGTGAAATGTGTCTTGCAGGTGATAGAGGATAACAAACAGTGGTGGAAACTACGAAATCGCAGCGGTCAGGCAGGCTATGTCCCGGCAAACATCCTGGAAGTTGTGAAGATCGAGGACTCAGAAGCCGCCTATAACCAGGTGACCTGTTGTAGTGTACAAGTGGTGCAATAACAGTACATTATAAGAGGAACAGCCATAACACTTGGCCACTTTTATAATGACTTTGTAAAAATGTATGCTTGACCTTTCTGAGTGAACTTTGTAGCTGTGTGGTGTTTTTTGAAGCGTTCATACGGGCAATCTTTCCTGCAGCTACACATAAACAAATGTAGGTAATAGAATGAAATGCAGCAACAGGACATGATCCCTTTCACCATCCTTATCTCAGCTACACAACTTCAGGCTTGTTGTTAAGATTAGATCAAATAAACTAAGATTAGATCAAATGAGCTAAAATTAGATAAGATTAGATCATCCTTTATTTTGTCCGGGAGTGGAGCCATATTTAGTGTAACAACAGCACATGGTGATAATGCAATAACAGTAAGTATCAGTAAGAAGATAAATTAATAAACAAAAAGAAATACAGACAACAATTTAAAAAAAAAAATAAGTATAATGAGTGAATAGTTGAGTTCACATTATTATACTTATACTATAATTGTCAGTTTTCATCTCTGTGATGGGAACAGGAGAGGTCAAGGTTTCTTATCACTGCTTGTTATTCATTTGTTACGCGGCTAGGAAGTGTAACATCTGGGTTAAAAGTAAAAGGGATGATAAGGACACAAACAGATAACACATTTGAAGTGAAGAAGTCATAATAAAGAGACATAACAGAGATTTCAAAAAAATAATCAGATGAGTAAAAAGCCTAGACACAGGTTGTTGTTTACAGGACAAATCATCACGCTGCATGCAGGTTTACCAACGCCCTTCTCATACTGTATGCAGCTACTCTTCCTGGTGCCAAATTCTTTCACACACATATTTTCTCTTTTGGCCTCAGGGCAAAAATGTATCAACCACCAGTGAGAGAGAGAAGAACCTGTTTTTGGAGTAATAGTGGCTGCGGTGGCTTTCTCATGAACTGTATACTTGCTATGTGTGTGTGTTTATTAGGGCTACGGGACGACATCTCCTGGTTCTCTGAGCCCTGGAAGCAGCTTCAAACATGGTAAACCCTTTGATCAAAGTGAGTGAATACAAACATCACAAAGTCAGATCCAAGAATAACAGATAAGAGTAATGGTTGCTTGATTCTAACGTCTGCTACCATCCTTTTTGTGTTCTGCAGAAGAGATGCAGAAGGTCCAAAGTGAGTTATTGGAGAAAATCCATAACAAAAACCAGCCGGCTGTCAAAAAGTACCGTGGGGTGGGATCAACCAGCATTCATGTACCGCTCAACCTTGACTCAACCCCAGAGCAGGTGACCGCGTGGCTCACCGCAAAAGGTTTCTCGAAACCGTAAGTCACCCCCGATGCTCAACTATCCAGGAAATCCAAATACCTTTCCTCTAAAATACCTTCATGTTTTAAAAAAAAAACATTGTTGATATCCTGACTTTTCCTCTAAAACTACCATCAGGCCGGCAGTGGCTCAGTCAGTAGGGGCTTGGACTGTAAGCCGTAGGGTCGCCGGTTCAAGTCCCCAGACTAGACCTAAATATGGAGTGTGGACTTCTACTTGGAGAGGTCCCAGTTCACCTCCTGCCCTGCCGTGGTGCCCTCGAGCAAGGCACCGGACATCCCCCTTCCCCCCTCACTCCCATTGCTCCCCGGGCGCTGTACAATAGCTGCCCACTGCTCCTAGCACTAGACTCATGGTACTAGGATGGGTTAAAAGCAGAGAACACATTTCACTGTGTGCACTGTGTGCTCTGCATTTGTGACCATTAAACAGGGTTTCATCCCTCCCAATAAAAAAAAGGTTATTTTTGACTAAAATGTCTCAACAAATATTGGATTGATTGTCATAAAATGTGATGTTATGCCTGCTTTCAGGATTAATTAGGAAGAACATGTATTTGAAAAAACCTTACTGATGGTTCGGCTTAATTTATCCTTTAAAACCCCAATGAGGCATTATGCGCAACATCAGCCAAACCGACACCAATGAGAATCAGTTCATCATTGTTGCTGTTGTTTACATCTGTGTCTTAAAAATGCCATTATGGATATTTTTTGGATGGTCAACTCACTATTGGAGACTATGTATACATTTATAATTTCATTACATTCATATATAATGAGATTCCTGACTTTCCACAGCACCATTGAATGTTTGGGGATCCTGACTGGAGCACAGCTGTTTTCCCTCAACAAAGAGGAGCTGAAGGCGGTGTGTGGAGACGAAGGAAATCGTGTCAACTCTCAGATCACAGTGCAGAAAGAATTGCTGGAGGTTTGTCACACACACATGCAAGCCAACTGCTAACACTCCTGTTACGACAAAGCCGTTTCTTTTATGGTTAGACCAAAACAAAATATAAACTCACTTGTATCAAATGTAAAACGTGTTTGTTAGATCTGAATAATACCATCCTGTCTCAGCTTTCAATGTCTTTCAGGGCATGTTAAGACAAGTCACTTTACTAAAAGTTTGTTTCAGCTGAGAGTCATCCTCGTATTATAATCAGGTCAGAACTGACTAGGTGGGATTCGTTGACAATTAAACAGCTTCCCACATGGATAATGACATAATAATCCGCAGTTATGCAGATTCATAAATTCACAAAACGCAATTGCAACAAATTGGCAAATGACATGATACAGTAAATAGATATCACAAGTATTACATACACACTTTGTGAGACACTCATGAGAGTGACAACTTCAGATCTTACACTGTAAAAAAATCACCTGTGGTTTTAATTAGCAAATCAGGGTGAAGCAATGAGTCCTGACTAAGTCAAAGCAGACTGGTCTAGAGTAATATGGAGGGGATAAAAAAACAATATTAACAAAGAAAAATATTTGGTATTTTAAAAACTAACATTATTAAAAGTATTGGCCCAGGATAAGGAGTTAGAGCCGGTCATGTATTTATAAAAATCGTTAGGATTATGCAAATTTTCTTTCTAACCTTTACCGTTTCAATTCACTTTTAACAACTTCTGTTTTTAAAATATTATTTTTTAAGTCAATCTGTTATCCATGTAATGAATTGTTGTCTTTTTATATTATCAACACAAAACATATAGTTTTCTAAGTACCTTTCCGTTAATTATCCAGTGTGATCCTCAAATCTCCTCAAAAGCAGACAGGATCAGTTACTGTGTGTACTTCCTTGTTGTTGCTGTAATAAAGGCCAAGGTAAGAAAAGTTTAGATTCACGTCTAAACAGAGCATTTCTTAAAAAGGCACTAGATTGTTTATTGAGTAGCTTGTGGTCCTGTGTCTCTCTTTGTAATAAGGGAATCCTTAAACAGCAGTTTGGCATAATACTAAAGGAGAAAAATTCATAAACAATAAATAAAAACAAGTCTTCTTGCGCTTCCTTCCTTTGCAGAAGAGCAAAGGAGACACGGAGCTGCAGGAGGTCATGAAGCGGCAGCAGGAGAGAATCAACTCTTGCAGCAAAGACTGAACGGACGCTTTCCCCTCTTCAGAAGCTTCTTCAATCAAGCTCCTGTCAATGATCACCTACAGTGGAACATACTGAAATGTTGTATACATTTTTAATTGTATATTTATTTTGTATCACCCAATATGTATGTATTCCAGTGTTTTCTTATCTAATTATGTTGCTTCTGTTTTCATTGTTGTTTGTATGAAAGAGGGTGAATGTGAATCCATGTACAGTTTTGAGAGGGTGTGTGTGGGAGCATGTGTAAGCACACCATGCATGTATCGTGCATATTTGAAGTGTGGTCAATGTTTATGCTCATTGTCAATATTGTGGCTGTTTACTGAATGACTTCAATAAGTAGATCTTAGCTATAGCATAACTAAACCTGTGCCAGAATGTTTGACACCTTTTCTGATATATAGCCATTTATTTTCATATTACTGTTTACAACTATAATAAATAATAAATCGCAAACTATATGTCAGAAGTATTCTCATCAATCCTGCTTACTAACTGCAGTTCAGCTGTAGGTATTAATAGAAATAATGTTTTTAATCAGAATTCAGACATTCTGGCAAGAGAAACTCATTCATGACGTTATTGTACATAACAGTGAGATACTGTCATTTATGTTGTTTTGGAGCAGCATGATATTTGCAGTGTAAGCTGAGCACATACAGGAAAAATAAGGAAAACATGAAAGTGTGTTGCTCTGATAATAATACTTAAATGAAGATTTGGGCCATGCATTCAAGGGGTTGTAAATATAATGGGACACAGTTTGAAAAAACAGTACAATAAAAAAATATCTTGTTAAATATTTGATGTCTCATCTTTTTGTAATTACTGTATTTCCTGTGTTTGTCACTGGATTAATAAAGCCAGAGGTGGAGAAACAGTCAAAAGTTATTTTATTGTATAATGTAAGATCAAGAAAGAAGTTCCATTAAGTACAATGATAACTTATCCTCAATTAAACAGGATTTGTCATTTTTTGTTGTTTCAGCATGATAGATAATGAAAAAAACATCACTTTAAAATACCTCACAATCCATTTTCACAACTGTATCTATAACACCATACCACTGTTGCTCAAGGCGCTGTAAGGCAATTCAGAGAAATCCTGTGAGCACAAACATTGCGCACTGAATCTGAAAATACTAAAACGACACTAAGAAAGGATCATTCCCGTACTATCAACTGGAGTATAAAACCGAACAGATACAATCAATGTACGATGCAGTAGAAGAGAAAAACTTCCTGTAGGTACGGTGTAGAGAAAAGACGTCATTTATGGAGATACGCGTCAAGCCAGAGGTCGCCCGAGTTCTTCAGTGACCTGGAAAAAAACAAAAATACACACGACATCTATCAGGCAAGAGGTTCATCACTTAACTTTGTTCAGCAAGAACATTTTATTTAGTTATAGCCCTCATTAATCTGTCGGTTGGTTTCATACCTTTGTTTTGTTTAACTGTTCTCTTTTGTTTGTTGACAACCTCAACATGTCCTTTCCCAGCAGTAGATGAAAAACTACTTTTAGTATGGGACTTACCTGAAAACATCAACAATGCCTTGCCACATTGTTTTGACGTTGTAAGGAATCCCATGTTTCTCACACAGAGCACGGACCAGTGGGGCCACCTGATGGTAGTTGTGGCGCGGCATCGTGGGAAACAAACTTCAGACGAGAAACGGAACAGAAAGCGTCCATCGGACATGTTTAAAAAATAATGTTATCATTTTAAATTGAAATCAAGGTCGTTGTTTAAAGTCAGCTTATTTCACTGTCAGTTTATTATAATATATTTAATAGCATATTAGCTTTTTCCAACTTTATTCAATGAAGCTATACTGTATAATGTTTATGCTGAGTATAGTATTCAAATCATTTCGTACTAATTTCTTCAAATAAAAACTAAATAATAAAAAAATACAAATCTTTAAAAACGTTCTCTTTTTATCTGGAAACTAAAAAGGTGTGGCTACTTAATTCTTGAAGATCATCATGCTTTCAGATTTCAAGAATGATGGACTTGTAATACTTTTTGTATCTATAAGATGATTATTTCTCATTTATTTGAAGATCTTTTTGATTGTTTTCCTACAAGCTTTTGAGCTGATGAACACATGCTCTACTCAGACTAGATCATTGACTCACTGATGTTCGATTTGAAAGTTGAGGTGCCCGCTGAACCAGTCGTTGAAGGGGGACTGCTTGATATTACAGGTGGCCTTTAGCTAAAACAGAGAGCGAGAAAAAATACAAATGAATATATCAGCATCACATACAGATCACTGTGGACTGTCCCCTAAAAACCCGCGGGTACCTGCATGGAGAGCCAGTCCCGGTGCTTATCGTGGTCGATGTCCATCGGCAGGTGATTCATCTGAGTCACCCACACAAACCAGTGACTCTCCAAAAACCTGCCATTCACAACAACACCAGTCAGGAATAACCATGTGATCCAGGTTGATGACATGTCGGCTTCTATTACATTATAAAGGGTTTGTTAGTTGAAAATAATGTTATTTTTGTAATTTATGTAAAAACGATTATATTATGAATCAAACATTTACAAAATATCAACTTTTGGGTATCATTGGAATCCTGTTCTAGCATAACATTTTTTGCAGCTCGCAGTTTAAGTGACAATAAATGTGTATTTTTGAGTTTTAGGTTGTTTTTTGATTTGTTTAGAGTAATCGTTGCAGCATAGGTACAAACAAGAGGCATGTATGAGTGGTTAGATGTCAGTATTTGATTGTGTTACAGTAGGTGTGTGTGTTGGGGTTGTATTGATTACCTGACAAAGGTGATGAGCATCACTGAGCCGAACAGGCCGAACATGGGTATAGAACAGGACAGGTAGCGAAGGTAGTACGACAAAGACCAAGCCAGGTCCTTCAAAAGAGAGGAAGGTTAATTAGATATAATATCTACTTTTCTTAAGTCATAAACATAAACAAAGAAGAAAATAATTTAGATCAGACTTTTTATCTCACTGGCGTCTCAGGGGTTTCTCGCATACATATTCAGTTATCAGACAGAAAATGTTGCTTATGTAATCTGCACTGTAACACAATAAGACAGCATCTTACCACCCAGTCGTGGCGTGAAATCATGGTGCGTATGATCTGCACATGGAAGTAAATTGGAATGAGTAGCGGGGGTCCAACTATAGGGGAGGAAAAAATAACAGTTATACCTGTGAAGTTTTACAGTTTCAATTTTGTTTAAATGACACCAGGAAACATACCAAGAAAGAAGTACTGGTGTTGGTAGTGGTAGGGCATATATTTGATCTTTTTTATGCCGTACTGTAACAGAGAAAACAGAGTTAGAATGAGAGTCTGGTAAAATACTGTATATATTTGTTTTTTTACTGAACTTGCCTCCACTGGTTGAGTGGCTCCAACCACGAAGACGTGCAACATGTTGACATCAGGGTCCTTACTGAAGATGTTGGGTTTAGCATGATGCTGGAAATGTCTGTGATTCCACCAGTTAGCAGACGCACCCTAAGAAAAACAATCTCTTAATAACCGTGAAAAAACGTCATTGAAAATAGGATTAGGAATACCAATTACCTTCAAATGGCCAATGGAAAACTTGTGCAACACGTGATTCCAGCTGGATTTCTTAAAGACAGACAGATGGCCAAAGTCATGCTGCAGCCACCCAGCCTGCAACTGCAGAAGAAGAAGTGAAAAAAGCATTAATATATTCAAAACATAATCAAATGTACGCCTGGGTGTAAATATCACTGTCTACTATGGACAACTGGGTGCGTTGTTTCTTTGCCATACATGTAATATACACACCCAGGCATTGTACAATATAGTTGCCCAGGTGCATATAGCATCTACCTTAATTTATAGTTGGGCACAGACCAGTGGCGGTTCTACGGGGTGGCACGGGGTGGCAGCTGCCACCTCAGAAAAATGCCTTGCCACCCCAGCTGCCACCCCATTTGGCAGCTTTGTTTTGAAAGAAAAGTTGTGGCTCATTGGACATTTGAGAGAAAATCTCTAATGTCCGAGTGCAAGTGAATGCAGCACAAGACGCGAGCCTTGTAACCCCCCCCCCTGGCGCGAGCTTGGAAATATGATTGGCGGCGATTTCATTTGAACGGGAGGACAGCGCAAAACGAGAAGCATTTCGGATACAAGTAAACAGAAGGAATGAGGTATTTGCGGTCAGGGTATGGCTGGGGTAAGCTACAGCCATACCAATAAATGGCTTAGCCCCACCATGAAAAATGATATTAAAGTAAGCAAAATAAAGTCTGCCAACTCGCGCGGAGTAAATTGCACAGACAGCAGTTAGTAAGATTGATTTCAGTAGCCACTTGTCTGGAAATACCGAAGACTAGAAATGGTTTTGAACACTTTTGTCACGTAGTGATCGTCTTCTCAATAGAACATCTTTGATAATGTCTTCTGGCCAATCAGAATCATGATAACGGCGTGGTGTTGTTGCAGAAAGTCCCGACAGAGAATACTTTTGCTGTAGTACATCTCTATATACATCGGTACAACTATAAGACCCCATGGTTTGATGATTGATAGGTGTGTGGGCTGTCTTTCATTTTGACACACAGAACAATGGGGGCTATCCACCCTTATCCACAATGTAAAGTAATTCACACAGCCTCTTCCCTCTCCTCTCTGTGAGGAGCAGCAGGTTCAGCTTTCAGAACAAAGTAACAAAAAACTAAAATGGCATTCATTTTTTTAAATACGTCGTGTATTAATATATATTTATTTATTTTTCTTCTCAAGAGAGCACCAGAATGTGTATTTGATGTTAGTATTTCAAAAAATCTCCTGGGGGAGAATCCCCCCAGACCCCCCTGC